TTGTTTCCTTTTCATTTCGGTTCAGATCAAGGTTGTGTATTCTCCTATGTATAATAAATGTCAAAGTACTCGTGGGTGGTTTTTAGACAATGAATGTGGTTTTCAACTACTAATTGCCAAGTTTGGGTTGCAAAATCAGACTTCTGAGACAGAGTTCTCAGAAGCTTTGATCACATATTTTAGCTGGAAGTGTTTGGAATGACTTGGGGAGTAGTCATTGCTTACTGGGGGTTCCTCTCCATCTCCCTGACAGCCATCCCCTCCTCTTTCATGATTTAGATCTTCCTGTGAGCCCTCTACATCAGACGCATGGTGTCCTTTTGTCGACCTCTGACTGGTCACCAATCTTGGTTATCTTCTGGATTCAACGTATAGGTTACTATGTTGATTCAAGGTACTATTCAAAGTATTTGTCCAAGGAAGTACATCCTCTGCTTTCTTTGCTTTGTAATCAGGCTCAATCCCTCATCTAGAAAGAGGAGTTTGTACTCTTTTATTAAGTCTTTTGGTTACTCAGGTAAGATTTCCACGTTTATCACTTCCCTGACAGAACCCTCACTAGAGACATCAATGATTTCCTAATCACAAAATCTGAATGATTCCTTTCAATAACCACTGTATTTGGTGTCCTGGGCCATCTGGATCTCCTCTCTGAGCTTCTCTTCCCTTGGCTTACATGTTACTGTTTCCCCAGTTCTTTCATCTCTTTAATTAAACCTTCTCAGTATCATGGTGAGATCCTCTTTCTCGGCAACCCCATTTTTTTAATAACTACAAATGTGCCTTAGATCGTCTCTCTTAAGAACCTGCCCAATTTTCCATGTTCTCCTAGGCTTATCTCACTGAATCCCACTATTCCAAAGACAACTATATGATGATTAAATGATGACCCAAAATTTGGATCTTCAGCCCAAACTACTTTGTTGAGTTCTAGACCTAGATAGATAGGCCCAGGAAGCTAAGACTCCACATCTCCAAACCAGAACTCAATCAATTCAGCTTCCCCTCCCCACTTGCCATCAATCCTGTGATTTCTCCTACAATCACTACCTTGTCATTTCAATTAATTGTGCCAGTAATCTCTAAGATCAGGAAAACATTCTATACCAAACTGCCTTCATCTAATTAGTCATTTTATTATTTCATGAATTCATTTCTTTATTCAATAGTCATATCATTAGAATTCAATAGTCATTTCATTATTTCATGAATTATTATTTCTTATCTAAAGAACTCTTTAAAATATAACCAAATATCATTCATGATCCAGCCCTACTTTCATTCACATATGTCCTAGCCTCCAGCCATGCAAAGTTCTTTTCATTGCTTTAATTTACCCTTTTCTACACGTTCTTACCCTGCTCGACCTACTCGAATGCCCTTCTTCTGGAATCCCCTTTTCTATGTTATGCCTGAAAAATAAATCAGTGTTCAAGACTCAGCTTCAATGGCTATTCTTTGACTGCATTCTGAAAGCACTGGGTGAAACTCATTACTTCTTTTTGGGCCTCACAAAATATTTCCATTATACAATCTCTCTCACACTATACAGTGCTGCTGAATAAATGGTCCATGATCAAGCATAACCTGGGAGGCTGCTGGAAATCCAATTCAACCCCTGATCCCATTCTGATACACTGAATCAGAGTCTTGGGGTGGAACTCAGGACTCCATGTTTTAACAAGTTCTCCAGGTCGTTCCCACATTTACTAAAGTTTGAGAGGCACTGCTCTGTAAACGTGTTGGTAGAGGTCTAAAAATGAGAGATTTAATATGACAGGTGGAAGTATGATAGTAAGATAATCTAAAAGACAAGAGTGGCCTTTGGAGGACCCAGTGGGAGAGCTACACTCTAGCCAAGACACAAAGTTATACAGAGAAGGAAATAATAAGGCTGCTGTACATGATGTGACTCAGCTTCTCTCCCCTGACAAAATCAGAGTGGATTCCTGCTGTGTGCGCACATTGAGTGGAGACTATGCCAAGCAGGTTGCTGGGAGGCCTCTGTTCTGCTGGAAAAGAGAAAATAAAACAATTTCAGCCTGAGCTGCTGGAGGTGGGAACACAGCCAAGTAAGAGAGCTATTAGCCCAAGGTAGAACTGAAAGTGCCTGGCTGACCTTCTCCAAAGTTTTGTCCAGGCACTTACAGTGGAATATGGGAGAGCCAGCTATCGACACTCAGATATCTTTTTCTTAAGAAGAAAAGAAATTTTTTTATAAACGTTTACTTTAAGTTTGTTAGAAATACTTGTAAACAGCTTGCCAGTAGTGCAAAAGAAAAGAGTGACAGGAAGAAAGAGTCAGAGAAGGAAATAGCATTGAGTGGTGGAAATACAACAATAAGTATATATAGACATATATTTAGTACGTCACTGTAATGAATGTGAAGTCTTTAAAGATAAGAACAATGTCTTTTCTTTCCATCTCCAATGAGGAGCCACTTCTGTATCAGTAACATAATAAGCATTCAATAAAAGCTTATTCAATAAGTGGTAAGAAAATTTTATGATTTATGCTGGTCGAAAAATCTAGCAATTTTAGCTGCAAAAAGAAAATGTCTCTTTAGAGATAATAATCTGTTAGCAAATATGAGTATTGCTTTGAGAAAAACTACACACCATGTCCTGCTTAATTGAATTATTCATTACTCCTTTAAAGATTCTCATTCAAGATCACTCCTGGCAATGCTGTGTTTGTTTTTAAACACCAAATGGCAAACTGTAAACATAACTGCCCTCAAATGCCTATATAGAAAAGCTGGCCTACATACTGAGTGGTCACTTACACCTACAGCCTTCTGCTTACATTCGATGGTGTTCAATTATCTGAACTGTATCTATCTGCACATAAAACCACCTGTGTAATTTGATTATTGAACGTCTAATGCTGGGATTTGTAATTTTTAAATGCATACAATTTAAAAATTATCTAATATCAATATTCCATTTCTCCTAATTCAAAGTGATGCGTTATAGCAGAATAGGCGAGTAATACGGCAATTGTAATCTTCATTTCTTCCTACAAGACCCATCCATGGGCATTTATGTTTTGATCTAATTCTAAAAATACCCAGGCATGATACTGCAGTGAGCCATGGATATAAAATTCTCTAGAAATTATTTACAAATTAATCTTTTAGAATTAAAAATAGAGGATTAAATTATCTCCATTTCATTTATGTAATTTTTTTATTTCTATTACTATCTCAGATGTCCCTTTTTAATCTTTCTACTTATCCCTTAATTCCCTAGCTCACAAAGCCTCAGAAGTAGTCTATATTTTTTTTTGTACTAGCTAGGATATAAAAAATGTTCTGGAGCTTTCATATTATATGTCTATGCTAATGATGGAAGAAGTGTCTTCATGAGTTTTTGTTGAGTATTAAGAGCCACAGAAACTGAACAAAATGACAAAGTTACAAATGTGCCATATTTCTTAAATCAGCAAGATAAATGCATTTACTATGAGAAAATTAAGTAAAAAAGTAGCTGAACATTCATTGACAACTTTGTTTAAAGATACTAGTTTATCTTCCCCTGGCCAAAATAAATAAATAAATAAATACACAAATACATAAAAAAAATACACACACACACACACATTTATAAAGTCTTTGATTATGGCTGAAATCTGGTCTTTGAAATTTATTTTTGCTTATAAAATTATCTCCAAGTTCCTCTAGTACAGGGAATGAGGTTTTTCATTCTATTATTTCAGGTCCCTAAAAAGTGCTTGACACTTAAAAGTCACCCTTTATATAAAGGTCTCAAAAATGAACAAATGTATTAAATTTAAGATAAAACAAAATTATAATTTAAGGGTAGGTTTACATGTATGTTACAGATGGTATGTTGGCTTTAGGCCACAACTGTGATAAAATTTGCTATAGTTGTATCTGTGTGTATGCACACACACATATTACAGTCTCTAATATTCAGTGGACAGATAAAAAAGACCCACTTCATAAAATTGATTTGAAAGGCAATAAACTGTTATATTTAAATAATTAGTTATATTTTTATGGATATTTTTGCTAAATCCTCAATCACTTATTATAACATACTAGGTCATACTAGGTCTACAGGCAAATACAATCAACTTTATGACAATGCACTTCAAGCTACAGTTTATTAAACATTATGAAACTTTGTGGAAAATATTATTTAGGTTGATTGTGTAAAGCCAAACATATTCAATTCTTTGAAAAAGTAATTTATTTTTCCATGAACCAAGATCTACACCTATTGTGTTGCGAGAGCTAACAGAAGAACTCACTCAAAAAAAGTGATTATTCCATTCCCAAATTCATTTTCTAATTCTATGTTTAATAAGACAAAAAGGAGGAAACAAAGGATGCCTGATTAAGAGAATGGCAAACTTAAGTTGAGGACGACCACTGATCAGCTCTTCAGGCACCCAAATGCCCAGGCTCACCTCAGGTGTCTGATGCAGAGAGAATGTCCTTTCCTTCAAAACATTCAAATTAATCATACCAAAGCCTTGGAGTAGAAGCTCATTTTGTCTGTACAATCGGGATCATGCTCCAGTCCTTATGGAGAAGATTTCCCCATCCTAACCTTGGAATTTGATTTAGAGCCCCCACACGTTCATAGACCATACCATTACCCTGTTGATGAATCTAGATGTAGGCACTGGATCCAAATCAAATCTGTCACAGTATTTCACATTCCTGACACATTTATTTCCCGCCTACTGAACATATTAGAACATTTCCCTTGGGTTATCGGCAGCTTTTAAAATTTGGGACAAGAGACCTAGCACATCCTGAGGCAAACCTGCCACATACTATCATTCCTAAATTGATGACAAGGCCACCGAAGTAGAAAGAGGCAAAGTGAATTGCTCGGAATCAATCACACACCTAGTAAGTTTTGGAGCTGGAATTCAAATAGAGTTTGGCCCCAGAGCCTATGTCTTTACTACCATTTTCTGCAAGCCCTAGTATATTGTGTGTAATTTTTGTGTGTGTGTGTGTGTCCTCTTGCTTTTATTTTAAAGTGCAGAACCTGGTGGGGAGGGACAGAGCAGGAACCCCGTGTCGTCACTGAGGCACCAATTCTCTCAGAGAGGCCAGAGCAGCATGGATGCGGACATGCAATCTGTTTTCAAAGTCGTAGCCAGAGAAATCCTCCTTTGCTTGAAGAAGTAGAGTTCTGCCTCTTGCTACGGTCTCTGGTTTGTCTAGCAGAAGACAGCCAAGTTCATAGCTGGCATATGGCTGAACGTATAAGTTATTCTGACGACACAACTCATCTTTAACAGCTCGCTGGAAGAACTGAACAGCATCTTCTGAGTTTCCTAGACATTTGTGTATGGCACCAAGAAGCAAATACTTTAATCCGACGACAGATGAATCATCCACCGTGTGGCAAGCTTGACTCATCCTCTGCAGGTTGGGGAGGGAGCAGTTGGGAAGGGCTTTCCACAGGTACAACACTTCGATGGAGGCCAGCACGCACAGCGCTTTGGTCGGAGCCTGCTTCCGAAAATCTGGTCTATGTATGCAAAGAACAAAGAATCTTTAATCCATCCCTCTACCTTGGGTCAAATCCTAAACTATACACTTACACAGAATTCACAAGATGGCAGAAATTTGCAAGTGAATTTTTGAACCCCTGAGTATCCCTGCGTGCAAAGGTCTTCATATTAAAGTCAATTTTATAACACTACAGAATGCTCTGAAATAAGACATTTGCTGAATGACATGTCTTATCCTTGAAGTGGAATACTATTTATGCATCTAGAAATTATTTTTCTCAGACTTTATCATTCTCATTATTCCTATTCCATTCTGTACCTTCAGCCACAGTCGCCATCTCTGCTTTTTCTTAATAGCCTCTGTGTAGGGGTACCTGGGTGGCTCAGTGAGTTAAGCCTCTGTCTTCGGCTCAGGTCATGATCTCAGGGTCCTGGGATCGAGCCCCACATCGGGCGCTCTGCTCAGCAAGGAGCCTGCTTTCCCTTCTCTCTCTGCCTGCCTCTCAGCCTACTTGTGATCTCTCTCTCTCTCTCTGTCAAATAAATAAATAAAATCTTTTTTAAAAAAATGGCCTTTGTGTACCCCTTTCAAGTCTTAAAGGGTCACCTAAGAGTGAGTAGGACCTTTCTCAATTCCCCACTCAACATGTCTGAGAGAGAATTATACCTTTACCATACCTACACAATGGAACTGCAGCAACATGACACAATTGATATGTGTCATACTAAGGACTTTCTCCTTGTAATGAATTTTGCTGAAAAGTCTGTACTTTTTACCTCTCATGGGTTTTGACTAGCTTTTCTGAAATTGCCATATGGCTACACAATGCTGGTACAGAGCTGGAGGATTTATTAGGTACCAATCCTGATCTCAGTTTTAGGTAATGAGGAAACAGAGCAGTTAGGGTTCAGCTATTATAAGGTAGCAAAGAAGCAATGGAAAGGTGGCCAGTTTTCAGGAATGAAAGCTGAGGAATGAAAGAGATACAGAGCATTAACGATGACCTACATTTCAGAGGAGACCACTTATAAGAATACCATCGCTGTCATCCCAATGAGGAGCTAGACAGTGTGCACAAAGTACATCTGCCCTCATCCCTTCCTCCCCACCTCCCCTTAAAAGAACAAATTCATTCACACTGTCTGGATCATCAACAATGATATATTCAGCCATTGCTTCTCTGAAGAAATGAGATAATAAGCGGTGGGTGGAAAATTTGGCAAGAACTATGGTAATTACAGTATTCATAACAGAAGATGGTTCCCATTGCTTCCTGTGTAAATGAAACTGTATTGGAAGGAACTCTGCATTCCTGATTCATCACAAAAGCTTTGGTTCCTTTTGAAAATTTGCTGCCACTGTTTTTTTTTTTTCTTTTCTTTTCTAAAATGTGACCAAAATTTTTGCTACATCTTATTATGAAAATCTTTAGAATCACATGTAGATATCTCCAGTGATCATTAATTCATCGCGGACATAAAGGGTATTATCGTTAAGACTTATTTTCACTATAAGTAATTTTATCAATTACTTTTAGCTGATTGAAAATGAAATTGCATTATGGCACATACATCCACATGCTGACTTATTTTTCTGACTGCAAGTTATTCTCAGTATACTCATGAAATCTCATTTATTTTTTCATTTCCTTTCCAATTATCCATAAGTGAACTGTCATTTTGTAATATCAGAAATCTATTTAGTATTTGATCACCATGAGAAGTATATACCACATACGTATATACACATAGAGTGACTAAAGTGGTCCATGTTTTTTAATTAATGTTTTCTCATGAGTACATTTCTATTCTTCTTATCAGTACTTTTCTATTCTTCCTCTTTTCTACTTTAAATGGTAAATAATCTGTTATGATTTCTACAGCCTTCATACAATGCTGTCCTTCATTTCCAATCCATAGTTATCAGATCCATGACTCAATCCCAGAAGGAAAGAGCTTAGCTAAAACATCAGTTGGTAACTTGCCCAGTTTCAGTGTCATACATAAGCCAATATTGATCTACATGGAATAGCCTATATAACCAGTCCTTAGAGAACTCCATGGCTGACATAGAATTAAAGCATTCTCCCTTTCAATTTCATCATCTTGGAAAATATTCTGTCGGAACAAAGAAACAATTCCATATTAAATTGGATTTTGTTTCCTAAAAAGTTTCCTATGCTCACTGGGGACTAACATTTGCTAAACACTAGTTGTGAGTTGGACACTGGGCAAAGTACTTTGCAGGCACTTACTTCATACTACAACTCTTGAAGAAAGAATAATTATTACTCACATTTGACATATGGAGAAACTGAAGATTAAAGAGGGCTAAGTAGCTTGCCCAAGGTTACAACACAAGTACATGGTAAGTTTGATGTAAAGCCCATATAGTTCCTTTTTCTTTAAATCTCTAAACTTGATTCATAATGAAATTAATGTCCAATTGCTTTTGTTATAAAAGTGTTAAGAATAATTGTACTTCCTACTTAGGGGAACAGCAGTTAGACTTGGGTGACAGACATTATTATCTACACCCAACCCATTTCAGACACACATTTTCTCACTTGCCAGCTTTCACTCTTAGGGGTTACCAAAGGTAAGTACCTTTTCCCCCTAGTTTCCCTTGAACAAGGAGGAGCCATATGACACGGTTTTCTGGGTTTTTTTTTTTGTTTTGTTTTGTTTTGTTTCATTCTTCTTCAGTAATGTATAATTAGAAGTTACAATGGGCTTCTGGGGAAAACTTGCTTTTTCTGATAAAAAGGAAAAAAAGAGGCAAGACTCCAAGAATAGTAGAGTGAGAAGTTCAGCAAATTCTGTCTCAAAAAGCAATGATAAAACATGACACATTTGTCAAAAACAACAATTTCAGTTCTCTGAAAAATCAACCAAAGCCATACAACAAGTTGGAAGCTTTAATTTAAGAAAAACTACTGAACTTCCGCTAAAAACAATGGTACTCTGTGGTGTTTTAGCCTAAAACTAAAACTGCTCTCATCCCACACTCAACCCTAGTTCTATCAGCTCAGTAGCTGAAGAGAGTTGTGAAAATACTTTTGCTGCCAGAGGGTGCTGTTTGATTTGGAGCAATGTATGTCCCCCGGGGTGTTGTTGAAACAATAACAATCTTGGTGGTGATATTCAAGACAGACCAACAATCACAACCATTCAGAAGTTTGTTATTGGTTGTGTCAAGCAAAAGGCCATCACACAAGGCAGAAATTTAACAGGATATCCAGAGAGTAAGTCAAACATATTGAGTCTTGAAGCACCTGGGTGGCTCAGTCTGTTGTGTCTGACTCTTCATATCAGCTCAGGTCTTGATCTCACGGTCATGAGTTTGAGCTCCACAGTGAGCAAAGAGCTTACTTAGAACAGAATGGAAAACAAACGTATTGAGTCTTAATATGCATTCATATATTTGTGGTCTGGAGATGCTCCAGTCTGTTCAAGAGTCTGTATATGCTCAGGAGACACAAGAGAGGTCCCTATCTATCCAGGACTGAATATAAGGCCTACTGCAGAGAGAAGACAGGAGATGGACTAGCAAAAAGTCAAGGCCAGGCACACTCATAAACTGCCTGAACTTTGAATGCACACCCTGATTCACACCCAAATTCACCAGCAAAAGTTAGAAATTTATTGACTCAAGATTTATGTGACTAATCATTGTCTGATCACTGAGCTATGATGATTCATCTCTAGGATGTCAGGCTTGGAGATAAAAACCTTAGCAGAGATATCAAGTAGCCCTATACTGAGGAAGAGAATGACACTTCAAAATTAGTCAGTGCAAGGCACCAAACAAGACAAAAATAGAAAAAAAAATTATAACTACCCCTGAGAAGAGGGGGTACTCAGAATCTAGATTTACAACAAGGTAGTTTCCAAATTTGCAAAAATGTGACACCCATAAAGAAACAGGAAAGTGTGATACATGGACAAGAAAAAAAAAAAAAATAGAAGTCAATAGAAATGGTCTCTGAGGAGGCCTGAATGCTGAACCTGGAAGATTCTAAAGCAATGATTATAAATATGTTCCAAAGAATTAAAGAAAACCTTATAATGGCACAAATAGAAAATGTCAATAAAAATAGAAATTATAAGACCCAGTTGTAAAATCTAAATGAAAAGTGCAAAAACAAAAAAAGTCACTACAGAGGTCAGGAGTATAGGTGATCTGGAAGAAGAAATAAACTTAAATATGGATCAATAGAAATTATCTAATCTGAAAAACAAATTTTAAAAAAGCCTCCAAAACCTGTGAAACACCTTTAAACACCCAATACATGAAAAATGGAAGTCACAGAAGAAACAATGAGACAGAAAGGGCCAGAAAGAACATTTGAAGAAATAATGTCCAAAAATCCCCCATGTTTGACGAAAATCATTAACTTATGAACCCAAGAGGCACAACAAACTCCAGTTTGGAGAAATTTTAAAAGATCCATACTTACATGCATATAATGAAACTGTTCAAACTCAAAAACAGAAAAATCTTAAAAGCAGCAAGAGGAAAATGATTTGATCACATAGAGAGGAACCATAATAAGATTAACAGCACCTGACATCTCATTAGAAAACCAAACCAAACAAAAAAGTGAGGATCAGAAGGAACTGTGATGAAATAATCAAAGAACTAAAAGGAAAACAAAAACAAAACAAAAACTGTCAACTAAGAATTCCATATCCAGGAAGACTGTTCTTTAAAAAAATGAAACTGAAATAAAGTTTTTCCAAGATATACAAAGACTGAGAAAATTACTTGACAGCAGAACTGCCTTATAAAAACTGAAAGAAAATGACATCAGAGAGCAACATGAATTTACACAAAGAAATAAAAACACTGGTAACAATAACTATGTGGTTAATATAAAAGGCAATATATTTACATTTTCTAAAATTATTTTTAAACATCTAGGACAATAGTTACAAACAGGGTTTTGAGCCCATAAATACAAAAACATAATATATTTGACAATGCTATCATAAACAACAGGAGAAGATATGTAGC